TTATTTATTTTTAAAAAGAGGAACAATTTCCTGTTTTTATCCGCGTCTCACTCAAGTTTTTAAGGTGGAAGCACCTTCCATATGTCAAGTGCAATCCCAGCAGCACTGCCACTGCTGATTGCTGGTGCCACTACTGATTGTGCAAATGCTGTGACTAGAAGATGTATGCACACAAGTGCTTGACTCGTGGCAACTGCTGCAACTAACAGTATCAGTGCCACAATCAAGTGTGCGCAATCCCTGCCAACTCCACAACAAAAAGGGAAAGGAATTTGGGTGGGGTAGAGAGGAAAACATAACACAGATCATCTTCCTAGCTCTTAAGTGATACCTGAGGAGAAATGGAATACACATATAAAACATTTCGGCTCTATGCTGAAGTAAAATGTGGTCTCAGGAAAAGCATTTGGATGGGTGCTCAGTCCTGAATAACTCTGTGACTTGGTAATTCATAGTGGTTCTGTATGTTTTAAAAAAAATTTTTTTAAGCATTTGGGTGATGGAATTACAAACCAAAACTGTGTATCTTTCCTGGATGGACACCATTTTCACTTGAAAGAACAACTGGTAAACTGTAGTTATTCATACTTGAGTAACTGACAGACCTTTTCTCAAAAATTAATAAAGTAAGCTGTCACTTCAAGGAGAACAACTGACAATATTGTTGCTGTGAAAAAAGTTAAACATTCAGGTGAAAATTAAATTTTTAAATAAGTTTTATCTGTCATCCTGAGCTTTCTCAATACTTCTCAGATTTTTCTGAGGATATCAACTGTGGTGTTTAGAAATGTGATTTTTTTTTGTAATATGTAATCAAATGTGTCAAAATTGTTAAAGGTTTGCAGAACCCAAATAAACTCAGACATGGTTTGAAAATGGGTCCCGTACAAGGAGAGACCAAAGAAAGAGAAAGGGCATCCCAGATTGGTCAGTTGCATCTTAACAAAGGGTTTGGCTTGGTACCAAGACCAGTGGATCTCCACACCCACTCACCAGAATCTACAATTTTATATAGTGGTTTTATTTGGGTTTGATCATGTGTTCCAACCAGATGGCCTCAGTGACACACTATCCTCACAAACTGCATCCTTGAAGATGACTCCCACTGTGGGAACATCGGGCAGAATAGAAGTCCAAGGACAAAGGTGGGCGAAGCTCATAGATCACTCAGCAGTTGCATCCTCTCAGTGACTCCCTTCAATATTCAGTTAATATTTTCCAAGTGACTAACTGATGGTTACAAAATTATGTGTGGCAAATGATCCATTCCAAGTACAAGATAGACCAATGGTCCTTAATGTAAGTTTCCCCCCCCCTTTTTTTTTTTTTGCTTAATGTAAGTTTTAAAAGTTTGAGAGTCTTCATTGTAAACAATTTTTGAGAAAGTGTCACCTACCAAGTTTTTGTGTAACATAAGAGAATTATAATTTCCTGAAGTTACTTAAACCACCATTTCTCAACTTTCCTCCCCACCAACTGTAGCTACTTTTGATCTTGTTCCTTCCTGAGGCCTGCCCCATCCTACGGTTGGCTCCCTAGTCTCATGATGTGGCCCCTCAATTATAAAATTTCACCTACAACCCTACCCTGGAATATCCTGGGAGGCCACAGGTGACCACTGGGTACCCCAGTTGAGAAATGTCAATCAAAATACTTGTTTTTTCCAACTCAGATCTAGGTGAGAACAAGTCTTTTTTTTTTTTTTTTTTTTTGGCTTTTTGGGTCACACCTGGCAATGCGCAGGGGTTATTCCTGGCTCATGCACTCAGGAATTACTCCTGGCCATGTGCGGGGGACCATATGGGATGCTGGGAATCGAACCTGGGTTGGCCACGTGCAAGGAAAACTCCCTACTCACTGTGCTATTGCTCCAGCCCCTAGGGACAAGTCTTAAGAACTTAGCCAAAACACTATATTGCAATAAATTGAATGTATAAAGACATGAAAATCTAGCCATCTTCTATCATAAACATAAAAATATTACATTACACTGTCCTCCCATTCGTAGATTTGCTTGAGCGGACCCAGTAACATCTCCATTTTTTGAGACTTGTTACTGTGTTTGGCATATCGAATACGTGCGGATGAGATACTCTCGGTAGGTTTCTGGGCTGTCCGAGAGGGGCAGAGGAATCGAACTCGGGTCGGCCATGTTGACTGCGTGCAAGGCAAGTGCCCTACCACTGTGCTATTTATTTAAAAAAATATATTAACTAAAGTTAAATACCATGCTTCTCGCTAAATTGTCTTAAAATTATTTTTCATAAAAATGTTACTTTCTAAATAAAGTTTTTATATTAATGAAACAAATTTTTGTTTTAATTTGATATGGAAAATATCAACACAGGAAACTCTAAAAACAAAGATTCTTTGTATTCCTCAATAGTTTTACAGGGAGTAAAGGATATTTAAGACCCAAATATTTCAGTGGACTGTAATACAGTCATTCTACTAAAGTCAAGATTAGATTCATTCCAGACAGAAAACCTATGCACTATAGCACTGCACTGTCCTCCCATTGTTCATCCATTTGCTCGAGCGGGCCCAGTAAGGTCTCCATTGTGAGACTTCTTGTTACTGTTTTTAGCATATCAAATACATCACGGGTAGCTTGCCGGAGTCTCCGAGAGGGGCGTAGGAATCGAACCTGGGTCAGGTTCAGGAGAACAACCTACTGGCTGCGCTATTGCTCCTGACAAGCTACCGAGAGTATCCCGCCCGCATGGCAAAGCCTGGCATGCTACCCGTGATGTACACAATATGCCAAAAACAGTAACAAGTCTCACAATGGAGACGTTACTGGTGCCCACGCGAGCAAATCAATGAACAACAGGAGGACAGTGCTACAGAAAACATATGAGATGAAGAGATTATGGAATTATCAAAAACTGAATTTCATTTTAAAAAAATGTAAGAAAACAACATAGGTCTCAATCTGAACGACCACTTCCCCAGCCATTCAAATCAAAATAGGATCAATTAACCATTCAACTCAAAATAGAATCCTCTAACCATCAAATATATAACCAACCACCCATGAATTCCTATTGGCAGAAAACTACAACAAAATACCTCCAGAAGTCACTAACACACCAACTTTTCACTAACACACCAATTTTTTTCTGAAAATTGCTAATCCTGATATTAAAGTTAAATGATCAGATATTTCCTAAACAACTATTTCAGAAAAATAAGCTAGTCAATAATTTCAAGTATATCTTAATAAAACGTAAAGGTAAAGGTAAAGGCCCTCCCGTTGTTCGTCGATTTGCTCGAGCGGGCCCAGTAACGTCTCCATTGGAGACTTTGTTGTTACTGTGTTTGGCATATCGAATACGTCATGGGGAGCTTGCCAGGCTCTGCCGTGCGGGCGAGATACTCTCGGTAGCTTGCAGGGCTCTTCGAGAGGGGTGGAGGAATCGAACTCGGGTCGGCCATGTTGGCTGCGTGCAAGGCAAATGCCCTACCACTGTGCTATCGCTCTTATTAAAAGTCAATGAAAAATAAATTTGGCTAGACAATGACTAATTTGCAAGTCCCACATAGAATTAAGCATCAATATTGAACAGACTAAAGCAATTAAGAGATTGACATCTGAAACTCACGTAAACCTTAACGTTATTTAGAATGGAAAATGTCATTTTATCCTTCATGAGGTGATAAAGAATATCACCACTGGGGCTGGAGTGATAATAGCATAGTGGATAGGGCGCTTGCCTTGCACATGGCCCAACCTGGGTTCAATTCCCAGCACCCCATATGGTCCCCTGAGCACAGCCAGGAGTAATTCCTGAGTGCATGAACCAGGAGTAACTCCTGTGCATCGCTGGGTGTGACCCCCCCCCCAAAGAAAAGAATATCACCACTTAGGAAGTATTCTTGTCAGAAGTAATTTTTTAGGTCCATTTACAGGAACTGTGTTGTTGAGTCTGTATTTTGGATCTATACCTATACCACTCTCCGACATCACCAGTATAACCAAAGCCCTGACCCTTATTCCATTACTTCCCTCTCTCATCATCTTCCCTAGCCCCCCTTGATTTCTTTCCTTTTCTCCTCCCTAAACTCTGGGGTCAAGTGTGATCTAGGCATCCCCCATTTACTACATTTCCTTATTAGCTCAACATATTATCTTCCAGTTCTAACCAGGTTGCAACAAATTGCATTATTTTATAGTCCCTTGCAGCTGCAAAGCTTTCCATTGTGTCTATACACCACATCTTCATAACCCACTCTTCTGCTGCTAGACACTTGGGTTGGTTCCACATTTTAGCTACTGTACTAGTGCAGCAATGAATAATGGTGCACGTATTTCCTTTTGAATGAGTTTTTATGTCCCGGGGGGAAATACCCAAAAGTGGCTGCTGGATCAAAATGGCAGCTCAAGATTAAGTATACCGAGGACTCTCCATACCATTTTCCACAGGGGTTGAGGCAGACAACATTCCCAACAGCAGCCGATAAAAGTTCCTTTTTCACATCGCCAACATATTACTGTTCCTACTACTTTTGATATGTGCCATTCTCACTAGTGAGAGGCAGTATCTCATTGTCATGTTGATTCAGATTTCCCTAATGCTAAGTGTAAAGTAAGCTGAGCATTTTTTCACATGTCTACTGGACATCTGCCTGTCCAAAGTTGGCTTCTAATTTTCTCTTAGCAATCAACTTTCCACCAGACTTCCATTATCACCTAACAGAAGCTGCTTCCATAGTCACTCGTTGGAACTCACAGATCTTTCAGAAATGTCCAGGTCTCCAAACACTCCCTAGAAAGAACTACCATTCACCCCTCCATCCCTTAAGTACTCAATTTCTTTCCCAAAGTAGACTTTCCATAAATATTACAATATTAAGGACTAAATTTTAATGAATTCAAATAATAGGAAATGAAGGAACATTAACTCCCATTCAAACGACTTCCTTGAAAAAAAATGTTTCCAAGTCTTATTTTTAACTTGCCTCATGATTCTCTTTAAAAAAGACGAACACAAAAAATCTCTCGACTAATGACTTTATTCATGAATTATAATGGAACTCAAAATAGCAAAGAACATGAAAAATTTTCAAATTAATATTTAGCAACCAAATACATCAGATATACATCTATTTTTCACACAACTAACAAAAATGTCTAAACTGTATATGTGTGTATTCTTTGTGGAGATTCAATGTAATGAGCATGTGTCATAGACAAGCCAGGAAAGTTAATCTAAACTGTCATTTGCATATAGTTTAAAAGAAGTTTTGGCCGGCAAAACAATCATCTCTTGGCTAATCTTTTAGTAAAGAGCTTCTTTTATGGCTAAAAAAAAAATCAGTAAAGATGAAGGTTTGATTTTTGCTTTTGCAGTGCCAGGGATTAAACCAGGGCCCCACACATACAAGACATGTGTTCTACCAAAGAGCCACATCCCCAGTCCAAGATGAAGAACTTTTTAATACTAAGTCAATTTTCTAAAAGCATTATAACTTATTTTCAGCATTCACTATTATTCATCATATTCATATGTCCTCAATATTGTCCTGAAGTTTTATAGTTTAAAAAAAATCTTATAGTTCACTGATTGTTTCCTAGAAGATAAAAACAATGACACCACCACTAGTTTTTCATGATTGAGGAGTATATTATATAGAATTTATCATTGTTTCAAACATGATCTTTGGTTTGACGTTGTCCTGGAATCCTTTCAAGTTGGATGACTGCGGCTAGTGAAGTATTTATGAAACAGCACACAGCTGCATTTAGCCATACAAATAAGTAAACTGGGTCAATGGCTTGAACACAGTAAATGGCCTTGAAGAACATGTCAAGAAATCTGGCCAGATGAGCACCCTGAATCTCTAATAGCGTGGTGCTGAGGAAAATTAATGGTGCTGAGGAGCAAAAAACCCTCTTCCTTCTTAAAAATAAAAATACAGGGGCCATTCAAGCTAGCTGTATGGGCCTGGCAGTTTGGTGGCTGGACAATGGATGTCTATCAGGGCCCATCAGGGGATGCTCAGGGGTGACACTGTGACATGCACCATGAGGACTCAGGGCATTATACACACTAGGCATATATTCTACCATTTGAGCTGTCGTCCTAGTCCTGCTCCCTTTTCTACCAAAGACCTCTAATCAATCTCTAACCAATCTCTTATCAATTCCTTAACAGCATTAACATTCAGCGGAAATAATCCGGTGGTGGTGGTGGGGTAATCTAATCTGAATGAAGGCACACAGGTGCAAATATAAGCAGGTACATGAGACCAGCAAAGCCGCCTCTGCAGGCACAGGTGTGCCCACCCCAGACCTATCAACATACATCATGTTTGAGGTTGATTATCATTGTATAAACTCCACCATATGCAGGTGAGAGATCAGAACTAGGTGGTTTTCTGTGAAACAGACTATAAATATTGTAAAAGTTTGCCTTTCTCCAAAATGTAGAGACTTACATACAGCAAGGAATGCAATAATATTGGAAATTGTTAGACCACAAAGTCAAATCCCAGAAAAGACCAGTTCAGTTTTATAGCTAGAGGTTGCTGACTATTTCTTCTTGCTCTCTTTGAACAATCAAATGCAAATGTCTTTTACCAATGGCAGCATTCAGATCCCACAAAAAGTCAAGTAGTGTCCCCTTAAGGAGCATCTCTATTGGCACAAACTGTAAAACTTGCTGGGGAGCATTAGAGCTAAGCAAAGCACTCAACAATTCATTCAAATTTTGCAGATACTCAAAAACAGGATTTGGAAGGTCCTGATAACCAACACAGAGCAGGACCGCACAGGTCTTCAGGGGCTCGGAGGATATGGGACACGAAAAAGTGATGAACCTAAAACAGTTATGGAGCAAAAAGATCAAACCAGCCATAAATCTTGTAAAACAGGACAGTATAGGTAAAATCATAGCATCTCCTCTCTGAAGCATCTGCAGTGAATGTAGGAGGCAGTCCAAAAATAACTGCTGGTAAGCTGGGTCTCCATCATGAAGCAAGGAAGAGCTAAAAGTCATGAGTCTAGCTGATTCCAGGTGCAGGACTTCCAAAGGCATATGCACCTTGGTATCACTGAAGGCTGGCAACCCGACAAGGAGGCACTTCATTTGGCTGGTAGGTTCAACAACCTGCTCACCCTGAAGGCACCTGGCAAGGCTAACTAACTCTGAAAACAGCAGTTCTTCAGAAAAGACATGACAGGAACAACAATACTGCTGTTCTGGTCTAACCTTGGAATCTAAATTCAAAGCACCTCCTAAGGACTTTTCAATTGCTTCATTCAGAGCCTTCAAAATTTCACCATCACAGAAAGGAGAACACTTTATCTTTGGAAGCTTCTTACCCTGTAAAATATGCCACAAGTGACACTCCAGATTGGCATCTGCTCCTTCAAGAAGAGAATTCTGTCCAGGATTGTATACAACATGTTCTTCAGCCCAACTATTAAAGTATCCTTTGGCCACCTTATCCTTCCATGAAAGAGTTTCCAGCATCTTCCTTTCATTGTAGGTTTTAAAATATCTGTTCCTCTGCCCAAACCACTTTTTATGACAACCAGCACTAGATTTTTTCACTAGCCAGTTATTTTTGGAAAGGGGTTTCAATTGAAACTTTTGCATGAAGTACTGGACAGCACAGTCCCTTAAATTATCTAACTTTGCCTGTTCCTCTTTTCCCATGTACTCAAACAGGCGAATGTTCGCAGAAATAGTATCTAGCTGATATTTATGAAAGAACTCACAACATTCTTCATGTCTTTTAAGAAAAGATTCAGGAATCATATTGTGGGGAAACAGAGCTTTGGTGGTCATTTCAGTCCCAAAATACTGCACCATCTTTGATAACAGAGGTTGGATGTCTTCTCTGCCTTTATAGTGAAGACAGACCACATAGACTTCTGAGTTTCCTGCCTTGCTAGTAGCAGGCTTGAAAACATGGACTTGATCAAAGGAACAGTTTAGCAGGTACATCAGGTTTATGGAACAGTGTTCAAACAAAGTAAACATCTTCAGCACAAAAGAGCCACCGTTGCCAAGGGTCGTCAGAGCAGTGACAACTTCGCAGTACTGCAAAGAGGAGACTAATGCCTCTTGTTCACCCGGGTTCCCCTGGCAATCGAAACTCCCATCTGCAGTGACCAAGTGAATGGGAGCCATGTCACTTATAAAATTCTGAAGTCCAGTGAGATATTTCAAGGTCATGATATCACCAGTGTTATCTGGCCCAAAATACCAACCATGCAAAGTATTTGCAATAAGTCGATCATCCATAATCATCATCAGATTGTCATTTGCTTCATGGTATGGATTCAGAGTATTAGCCACCCAACTCCACTCACAGGGGAATTGATGAGTCTTTAAATAGTGATTGAGACTAGCTATGAAAGCTCCAGGAGCTTCACAAAGGTGTAGAGAATTCAATTTTCCATTCTGAAAAGCTTCCTGTGGAACAAGTGGAAAGCTGCACAAAATCTCATGAAACTTACACCATGCTTGAGTACAAAGTTCAGCGTTCACATATTTTCTCAGATGAGAAATTATTTTCCCAGCTTTATTAGTGTAAGAGGTGTGCTCATGCCACTCGTCCAGTTTCTTATCACTTAGGAGATTTTTCACTTCATTTAGGGAGTTCTTCAAATCAAGGAACACATTAAATTCCGTGTGGTCACAGGTAAAAATCTCACCGAGATCTGGTAACTGCCACTCATTATTAAGTGGCTTGCCATAAGTAAAGTTCTTGGCAAAGAGTTCAAAAATGTCAGCAAGAACATCTGGGCTGAAAGTCTCAGGGCCTGAAGCCAGGGGTGGCTTTCTGAACTTACTCATTTTTCAAATTAAATTAAAATCTAGAAAAAGAAAACACAATTAAATGAATCAAATATATCTGTGAGTGAAATCTCATCTACAACAAACTGGATCATACTCAAGATAAATGGCATACAGTGGGAAGACTAATATTTTCGAACAGAACATGAGGTAATAGAAAGGAATCAAGAAACAGGAAAGGAATAATAGAGGAGTCAAGGCTTTGATATCCAACAGACTTCCCACTTAGAACTCACTACATGGCCAGGGACAAATGACATCTTTGAGTTTATTTTTAAAAAATAATTTTGATAATGATAAAACATACTGACACTAGAAAACTCTTGCCAGCAACAGCTTTTATTACATAAGGAATCCATCCAGTTTCTCTCCAAAGTTCTTTTCTGCCCTGGCTGACATCACCCACAGACCCCTAAAATACTCTCTCACAGATTCATCCTTGAACACAACCTCAAGCCAAGCTCTATTAAGAGTCTCTTGGCTTTTCAACTCCTTCTGAATCTCACCTACTTTCAGGAGAGGACACTGCATCTGACCCAGTATTAGTTCTGCTGCCAGAACTAATCTGTCACCATCCTCTTATTCTCACCTACTAGAACTGCTAAGTCAGTCCTCTGCCCATTTTTCACTCCCTTACTAGGACATGCACACCCATGGTACTAAGTCACCTTTATTTGGGGTTTGGGGCCACACCCAGCAGTGTTCAAGGCTTATGTCTGGCTCTGAACTCATAGATCACTCCTGGCAGGGCCGGAGAACCATAAAGAGTGCCAAGGGAATGGAACCTGGATAGGCTGCATGCAGGGCAAGTGCCTTATCTGCTATACTGTCTCCAGTCCCAAGTCACCTTTAGAGATCACCAGCCTCACAGTGCTTATTAACTGCGCTGCTCATGACCAGTGAATGATAAAGTTGACTAAATCGGACAGATTCTTGTTTCATCTGGTCAGACAGTCCATGCTTCCACTGTAAAACAGCAGTTCTTCTTACTAAAATACTACACTCTAGTTGAATATTTTTTAAAGCTTTATTATGCTTTAGATATTACGGTGACAGAAGTCTGAAAATTTACGTATTACCAGACAAATTCATTGCGACCAATGTATCCAGGACCTCCACCACTGTCTTTATCATTTTAAACGGAATTTTCTTACTAAGTACGTAGATTACAAATAATCACATACACTGTCTTATAAACCAAGAACCACCATAAAGATATGTAAGAGGAAGAAGTGAGGTGTAATGGCAAAGTGCTGTGGGTAAATTCAAGCAAAGCAGTATTACGGGGTACTTGTTAGCACAAAGCATTGTTCATTTAGCATATTCAGCGTAACCCAATTTTCAAAAGCACTTAAATTTATTATGCAAAAAACTGTCACTGTCACTGTCTTCCCATTGTTCATCAATCTGCTCAAGCGGGCCCAGTAATGTCTCCATTGTGATAATTGTTACTGTGTTTGACATATCAAATACATCTCCACTGTGACAACTATTACTGTGTTTGGCATATCGAATACGTCACGGGGAGCTTGCCAGGCTCTGCCGTGCGGGCGAGATACTCTCGGTAGCTTGCAGGGCTCTCCAAGAGGGGTGACGGAATCGAACTTGGGTCGGCCATGTTGGGCCCTTGCAAGGCAAATACCCTATCTGCTGTGCTATGGCTCCAGCCCAAAAAAAAAAAAAAAAAAAAAAAAAAAGAGAACTAAATCACCTTTCCACAAAAATCCTGATTAATGGCTATAATAAAAATACAGGTGAACCAGAGCCACAATAAAGAAAAGATTTTATCAATATTTACTCTGTACTGCTTCAGCGCATTCCCTTTTGTTCTCTTTCCTTTTGGGCATTTGGTTTGCAATAGAGGTATTGAGTGGCCATTGTGTTGTCTATAGTCTATTTTCAGCAGCTCCCAACCCGAGCGGGAATGGGTCCTTCCAGCACCCTTTACTTGGTGTTCCCTTCTCTGTCTGAGCTGCCTTATCCTCCAGCATGTGAGGCCAGCTTCCAAGCCACAGGGCAAACCTCCTGGTCCTTTTCTCTACTATTCTTGGGTGTTAGTCTCCTATTCTGTTAGATTCCACAGATGCGTGCAATCTTTCTACATCTGTCCCTCTCTTTCTGACTCATTTCACTCAACATGATACTTTTCATGTTGATCCACTTATATCAGCACATATTTCCCAAGCCTTTTAATATCTTACATTTTTTTTTACAAATCCACCTATCTTATAGTTTTTAAGCTTCTCAAAGTACAATGCATCTTCTTAGTTATTTGTCAATTATTTACAAATAATACATAAATTGTGGTAAATGGCTATTCAATTATCCATTGATATTTTTTCTCACGGGCTGGAGTGAGAGCACAGCAGGTAGGGCCTTGCATGCGGCTGACCTGGGTTCGATTCCTCCATCCCTCTCGGAGAGCGCAGCAAGCTACCAAGAGTATCCCACCCGCATGGCAGAACCTGGCAGGCTCCCTGTGGCATAAAACAGTAACAAGTCTCACAATGGAGACGTTACTGGTGCCCACTCGAGCAAATTGATGAACAATGTGAGGACAGTGCTACAGTGCTATTTTTCTCAGCTTGCTTTTTTTAAACAACAAATCTGTATTTGAATAAATTTCTTAGAAAAGGCAAAACAGGAACATCTTCACATTCACTGAAACCCTAATCATATTCACTGAAATCTCAAAAACAAACAAAAACCCCAATGCATTGTCTTAATTCATTCCACGTCTATTGGAAACTACAATCACATTTAGATTTCACCTACATTCTATTTTGGAATAGTCTAACTTCAGTGAATAGTGTCACATACTAAATTATGGCTGCAGATAATCTTATATAAGTATGTAAGTTACCATCACATGAGAACAACTAAAATGAGTAACAACTCCACTGTTCTTCCTGACCTGTTGAGGACAGGCCAAAATTAATCAGTGAATATTATTTAGATCAATAATCCACAATTATACACTGAACCTCCTCAACATTATGCTTCTACTATCAAATCCTCCAAACCCACCCACTTCCAACTATCAGCCTCCTGATAACAGACACAGGCAACTCTCTGTCACTGTCTCTGTCACAGTGACAGGGTCACTGTCACAGCTTTGCAATCTTTGTCTAGTCTTACATCCTTTCCACTGACAGTCTACTCTAAAACGTACTGACCAGAGACACCTTGTAAAATTCAAGTTTAACTATGTTCCCCTTCCACAAAAACTGTACCGACTGTTCACTGCAAAGTGAAGCCAAAATCCTTACAGTCAACAAGAAGGCCCTTGCAAATTCTACCCTCAATCCCTAATCTCACTTTCTATTACTATTCCCCCTACTTCTGTTCCAGTCACAGGCCTTTCCTGCTGGTCGCTGAAGACACAGGCATACTGCAAAAATTTTTACACTGGCGAATCCCTCCATCCTAGATAGCTTATTATTCCCTTTCATCCTTGAAGTATTTGCTCAATCGCAACCTTCCCTGAAAAGCCTGGCTACCCTGGCGTTCTAATTTCAAATGCACCCTGCATTCCCAATACCTGACACTATTACCCCACACTTCCTCCCACAGCACTCTTCTTTCCACAACATAATCCAGTTTATTTATGTGTACTGTTTACTTGCTTTCCTCAAACTAGAATGCAAGGTTCCCAGGGCGTGACAGCTCTTTGCCCTAACTTCATACCTCCTCCTAGGGATTTAAAATAATGCTCTGAATGCAGTACTAGTAAGAATGCATCATATGAATGGGTCTCATACTTAGCACAAATGGTATTCCTCCTCCGGGCAGGTCCTGGAAAAGTCCCAAGAGTGCATTTCAACTTCATTTCAATGCATGACTAAACTAAAAAAGAGAGAGAGACACACACACAACACGTGGCTTACAGTGCCATAGGTCAAACGCCCCAGTTTGTGTTCCTCCTGTTCAGCACTCAAGAGAGCAAGTGGCATCACGATTTGGCTGCGAGGGTGCATCGTGCCTGACATACTCATACTTTGCAACTCGGGGTTGAGGGTATGAGGCTCCCGACCCTAAACCCACAAACGGAGACTCTGCAAACTAGGGAATTCGCACAATTTCCAGAGGTACTCGCAACTGCCTTAGCTGGGGTTACCGCTCCAACTTTGGGGAGTGTTTCTGCCAACTCCTCCTCCCAGCACCGAGGAAGATGACAACTAGGGTGTGTCCCGAGCTCCCTAGGGGCCAGGGGTTCCCAAGCCCTGCTGCCTCGGGAGCCGCGGGGGGTGCGGCCGACGGGGATGAGCCGCAGCCGCAGCCCCCGCCTCCCCCGGGAAAGCCCAGGGGGTGCGTTACCTTCGCTCACGCCCCCCGGGACTCAGCGCTCGCCGCGGGGCCATTCTGCACCTCCGCTCCCGGGACGGCTGCCCGAGCGCTGCCGGGGGCCCGCGGCGAGCGCGGCCGCACGGAACGGGGGCGGCGAGCCCCGAGGCCGGGACGGAGACCCAGAAACGCCCTGGGAACACCGGAAGCGAAGAGGCTCCCCGGGCGCGGCCGCGCGCCCTGACCGGCACTGCGCACGCGCCAGGGGGCGGGGCCGGAGTCACGTGCGTCCGAGGGATGCGCGCTGGCGTCGCCCGCGCTGCCCAAGCTCGGCGCCCCGGGCTTGGCTTCCCGGTGGGGTGAAGGAAACCTCCCGGCCGACTCCATGGCAACGGAAGCTGCGCGCGCAGAACCGATCTTTGGCCCCGCCTCCTAAAGGCGGGGCGATGGGGCGGAGGGAACCCTCGGGGGAGGGTGCGATCCGGACCGCCCACTGGCTCAGGGGCTTCCTCTGCGCACATAGAATCGAAACTAAAACTCAGAGGGCAATCTGAATTAAAAAGCGAACTAGGGAAACTACCAAGTAGCATTGTTTCCTCTAAAAAAATGTGTTTGTAGGAAAGGTGTGGTAGTACAGCGGGTAGGGTGCCTGCCTGACAGGCTGCAACCTGGGTTTGATGCCTGGCATCCCTTATGGTCCAGGCCAGGAGTAGGCCCTGAGCACAGGCAGATGTGGCCCAAAAAACCCCAAACAAACCCAAATCTATATACATATATCACTTGATCATTTGATATCCCGTTACTCATTGATTTACTTGAGCGGGTGCCAGTAACGTCTCCACTCATCCCTGTTGCGTGCCAGGGTAGCCCAATGGCATCTGCTCATTATAGAACTATGCAGAGCCTCAAACCGATCATTCAGGGTCTTGACGAAGAAGTCTGACCATTTGTAGGTGGGCGTCCACGCGATCTTTTGACCTCCCGTGGAATCCAGTCAGTAATGGCTCTAGTCCAGCAGTCATCTGTAAACCTTATTACTGTCCAGCCCATCTGATTTTTGATGCCCTGGCAAATGAGACAGCGTCCCTGATTCTTGAGCGTTGACTGAGATGGGAACTCCGGATTCTATCTCTCATTTGAGTGAAGTGTGATACTCCAAGCATAGCTCGTAGCTCGTAGCTCGTTCGCTTCCTCTTTGAGAAACCTGAATAGCGTTCTCATCCTGTTTTTGTAGGGCCCAGGTCTCAGGCATATGTTAATGCAGGAAGAATATACAGATGTATTATATATATATAAAAAAAATCAGGTTTGTGTATATATATGTATATATATGTAGCAAGTTACCTGTGATGTATTCAATATGCCAAACACAGTACCAAGTCTCACAATGGAGACGTTACTGGGCCTGCTCAGCATATCAATGAACAATGGGAGAACAGTGACAGATATATATGTATAATACATATTATATACATATCATATATGATATATATATATGTATTTGTAGGCAGAGAGTACCTGAGAAGAAAATGGGTGCACCAAGGATGTGCACCAAGTTCAGGAGACAGCACTTGCCTTGCATGGATGAGGTCCCAGGTTTGCTTTTTGCTTTTTGCTCCCAGACACAGAGAAAGAGAGAGAGAAAGAGGCGGGAGGGGGTAGAGGGAGGAGGAGGTTTTTGAACAAACCATGTGAAAAAGAAAACAAATAGCCAACAATGTCATCCAGTATATCTTTTCAACTGATTTAGCAAAGATTGATAATAGTCACTGTTGATGAGAATATGAGGGAAGCCGGCTTATAAATTCCCGGTGGGAGTGAAAACTTGGCATGATTCTCTTATATGTGGGCTTGAATCTTAGCTCAGCAATTTCCACTCCTAGCAATTTATCCTTATAAAACAAACAACTGGCATTCACTCTGGACAAAATTTCTTTTCATCACCCCAATAGCAACAGAAACAAAAACTGGAAACTCTCTCAATGACTAATTTAAGGACATTAAATTCATTATGGACAACCATGTCACACACTATGCATCTATGCATAGGCTCTTTGTCCAGCATTGTATGAAGATAGGAGAATACAGGAGTGTGTATAGAATTGAGATGCTTGTGAAAATTATACATTATTTATTACACTTTATACAAATCTTCCATGACATGTATTAATAGAGAAAATACAATCTTTTCTAAAAGCAGGACTAGGTCATTTAGATATTCATATGGAAAAGCTTTATTTGTGCTTTTACATCATAAACATAAAACCATTTTTTCAGGTTACCAATCTATAAGTTAAATAATAACTCTTTTAGCAGAAAACGCAAGTGAATTCTTGACCCAGAGGTAAGCAAAAAGGAAAAATATAAGGAAAAGGCATTATGAAAAGAAAATATAGAATTACCTATGTTTAATGACATCTATATAAGACACTAGTAAGAGTGTGGAACAACTCTAGAGTGAGAAGATAACTACAAAACCTACATGTAATTTACCCAGAATAAACAACTACAAATAAATAAGAAATAATCTCCATTATAAAAAATGGGTGTAAGGCTTCAAAAAACACTTCAAAAAGATGATATCCAAAGGGCAAAAAAAAAAGATAAAATAAGCTCAAATTCAATAGTCATTCATCTTTGAGGAAATATAAACTAAATGCATAATGAGACACAGTCACAAATCTGCCAAAATAGCTAATAAAAGAGATGGAAAAAATAAGTTTTGGAGAGTATGAGCAGATAATAGAAAAATGTGTAGAAGGAAAAAACTTCTAAACACCAGCTGGTTGCCATTTTTTTCTTTTTTAACTTTTTGAGATATAATTAATATACAAAATTTTTCCCTGACAAATATCTATTAAATATTCCAGAAAGTTGCCCTAAACATTTCCCCATCAAATCCTCTTCCAACAAATCAGCAACTGCTGATTTGTTTTCTATCATCATAATTTGAGTTTACCTAATTTAGAATTGCATATATTCAGCCCATTATAGTCTACAATTGTTATAATGTTCAGTTCTTATCTGTTAGTATACATATACTTTTTATATTACAGGGAAAGAAAAACATACTGCCTTCTTTCCCTCTAGATTCTTAGTTTAGACTCTGTAAACAAAAATGAGGTGAATAAGAAAATGTTTATATAAATATACTGATATATTTGTGTGATTGTATAATGTAGTAGCATCTCATGATATGGGAATCTCTGCAAGGAAATAAAAACCTAAAGAAAGAGTTAAACGTCCATTTACTTTTCCTGGATTTTATCTAATTCTTATCAGACTGAAACCTTAGACCAGTGGGGCTTGGTGGCAGAGAATGAGACAAACACACAGACTGTCCAAGCTTTAAGGTCTTCTGGGCAGCCACCAGTGGCCTCCCAGGCAGCCATTTATTCAATACCATATCACTCCCCCATCTCCACTGGACTCTCAACACACAAGCCATTGTTAAAGTTGACACAGACACTAAGGACAGTTAATAAACACATCAATAGATGCATGAAGACAAAAGGCTGGGTATATCCCATAGCCAATCAGCAGGCATCTAAAAGACCCTAAGCTGTTTATACTATTCTTTCCTCGGTGCATTTTTGCTGGCCCTGGTGTCTATTCTCTTCTTTGCTGGATGCACAGATGCAAACCCTTTGTATTCTAAGACCTAAACTGTTTTACCCAGGGGAATTTAGGGGGCCAATTTCCCACAGGTTTGATGCAGAAAAGTGCATCAAAGGAAAACAGTCACGGCCACAGGAAAACATGACAATGAGACTGAGCTGAGAGTAGGAAACTGGAAGAAACTTACCAACCATGTTCCCTCGGGTCCTCCTAGGTCTCCCTGTCTTCAGAGATTAGGAACCTTCTTTCCTCCTAATATGGGCAGCCACGTCTCACACAAGGGCTGAGAAGCTTCCAGGATTCTTGCTGCACTCACCGTTTCTCAAATTCCTCTAGCTTTACAGACTGGCAATATCAAAGGCACCATATTTTGTAGAAGCATATTCTGAACTCCATTAATATTCATTCATTCTTATAAACTATAGGTTATAGGCCATCTCTTTTTATTGCTAAGTAGTATGTCTTTATATGGAGGGATAACATTTTATTCATTCTCCTGTGGAAGAGGGTATGAGTCGTTTCCAATTCAGAACCTTTATGCATAAACTCATTCATTCCAGTATGACTTATTTTCTTTTTTGAGTCAGAGCCAGCAGTGGTCAGGGATTACTCCTAGCTCTGTGCCCGTGGATCTCTCCTGGTCCTGTTCAGGTACCATATGCAATGCCAGAGATTGAACTGAGGTCTTCTGCATACAAGGCAAGAGTCTTAACTCCTGTACCATCTCTCCAACTCCAAGTATAAGACTATTTTGCAAGCATGTTTTGTTTTCTTGGGATGGCAGGGTCATGGAGTAGGTCTAGATTTCTCAACCTCTAAAATATTAATATGGTGAGATTTGTGAAGGGAGATAAATGTTTTTCCTACGAAATTTTCATTTTTTCCAAATACACTATCTTATCCCCGGCAAGCTACTGAGAGTATTCGATATGCCAGACACAGTAACAACAAAGTCTTCAATGGAGACGTTACTGGGCCCGCTCGAGCAAATTGATGATCAACGGGAGGGCCTTTACTTTACTTACTTTTTACACTATCTTACAGCCTTACCCACGATTCATAAGAATCATTATCACTTCACAGCCTTCCCAACTTTGAGTGTTATGACTTTTGCTCCTTTTAGTGGTAGTAGTCGGTTGCTTTTTAAATCTGATTCTTAACAAATATCAATTAAAAACTTAAAGCTATGGGTAGTATTTAGAGGGATTAAAGACTAGATGGTGGTTGGTTGGACAAACATAGTTCCCTAAGGTTTATAAATCTTATCAAGAATGTTCTAAACAGCAACATTTTAAGTGATCTAGTCCTTATTAAAATAACTGTCACTGTCACTGTCACTGTCAGTGTTCTCCCGTTGTTCATCGATTTGCTCGAACACACCCAGTAATGTCTCCATTGTGACAATTGTTACTGTGTTTGGCATATCGAATACATCACGGGTAGCTTGCCCGGCTTTGCCATGCAGGCCAGATACCCTCGGTAGCTTGCCGGTCTCTCCGAGAGAGGCAAAATTAACTTATTGAATAAATATTATGTGCTAATCATGGAGTTTACCTTTTGTTTCTTGTTTAATTCTTTCAACAGCTCCATGAGATAGATTTC